ATGCTTTGAAAAAAATTTATTAAATTATTGGGTTGACATTGGTAATAAACTAATATAGGTTTTAAGTGTACAATTCTATGATACATCACCTCTATTCTGCATTATGTGATCACCACCCAAAGTCAAATCTCCTGCCATCACCATATATTTGACCCACTTTACGCTTTACTACCTCCCTCTCACTCCCTCTTTCTCTTGTAACCACCATGCTGTTGTTGTCTATGAATTTCTGTTTATTTGTTTTTCTTATTTGTTAATTTCTTGCTTTCAAGTTTATATTCCACATATGAGTGAAATCGTATGGTTTTTGACCATTTCATCTAAATTACTTCACTTAGCATGATATTCTCCAAGATCCGTCCATATTGCCACGAATGGCATTGTTTCATCTTTTCGTTTGGCTGAGTAGTATTCTATTGTATGTATGTACCACATCTTCTTTATCTAATTATCTATTGAAGGACACTCCAGTTGTTTCCATATCTTGGCCACCATGAATAATGCTGCAATGACCACCGGGATACATATTATCTTTACAAATAAATGTAAAAAATATGACAAGTTAGCAATACAGTTTTATGTAAAGGCAATAAAATTATGAACTGTGTTCATTTTGTTAATTTTTCTTGTTTTCAAACTTTCTATCATACACATCATCTGTGTATAGAGTGCTTACTAACTTCCTATTTTCCTGAATACAGATGTGTTGAACTAACTTGTTATACTGGTTTGGTGCCTGACATTTCTTTTTCATTTAAATTATGTTTTTCCAGTGTTCTCTATGGAAATAAAATCACAGAACTTCCAAAGGGTTTATTTGAAGGATTATTTTCCTTACAGCTACTGTAAGTATTTGATTGTTGCTGATCTGTCGAACCACATGTTATATTTTGTCCGTGTGCCATTTCATATTTTCTTGGGGGCTTCAGAAAAATTCGACCCAAAATGACATAGTTTAATAAAATGGAAAAGATTCGCCTAGTGCTAACATTGTTGACAGTTATTTATTTGAAGACACAACACTTTGCAATTGTCCCCAAACCTTTCTCTCCACACTTGTCACGAATATATGCATTTTATCTGCTCTGTCATTTAATGCTTTTATAATCCCTGCCCTTAGTGAAGCTTCTCTGGTTTGATTTAACAATAGTTGGAAAGGAGAAAAACATGGTGATATATTTATCCACCTTTGTGCAAAGAATCTGCAAGAGTGACAAGCTGGAATAACATCCCCCAGCACAAGGACGGTGTGCAGGAGGTCAGAACACAGCAGTGCACTCAAACTAATCTTTAGTAAGAGATTTCTCTGTAAATCCCTGGATTATATCTTTAAAGATCACTCTGCTTAGACAACAGCTAGGTCTCTTTTGCCTCAAAAAACCCATTTACTGTACATATTTATAAGACTAAGACTTGACCCCAGGTATTTTAATTAATGCTTATATGAAAAGGAAATTAAAAAAAAATGCTGTTATTAAGATTGGCCCAGCTGCTGTGGATGCAAAGATGAGTGCGATGTAATTACTTCTCTCAACTAGTTCATAGTCAGTCTACTTTACAGTTTTCAAATGTATGATTTTACTTATATGTGGAATCTAAAGATCAATATAAACAAACAAACAAAACAGAAACAGGCTCATAGATACAGGAAACAGAGTGATGGTTGACAAAGCGGAGGGGGTTTGGGGGCTGGGTGAAAAAAGTGAAGGATTGAGAAGTACAGATTGGTAGTTACAAAATAGTCATGGGGATGTAAAGTGCAGCATAGGAAATACAGTCAATATTATTGTAATAATTATGTATGGTGCTAGGTAAAATACTAGAAATAGGGGAACATTTTATAAAGTATATGATTGTCTAACCACTATGCTGTACACTCAAACTGATATAAAATGATATTGAATGTAATAGTAATTGAAAAAAATTATAATAGAAAAGTCAATATCATAAAAATAATTTAATTTGGAATGTTATTTTTTTCATAGAGCAGCTGAATGGACTAGTGTTTCATGGCTTTTATTTTTTTCTTTATGGTGTCCTTGACCTCAGAAGTTGGGTCTCACCCACCTTCATCTACTGCAAAGCTCTACATCTAGAGAATATATGTAATCACTTTTTATTGAATAAATGTATAGGTACCACTAGATTTGGGCTTTCTTTCAACTGTGTGAGCCTTGCTTTATTTGACACAACTCCAAATATTTATTACAGTTAAAATGTCCATGTTGAGATGAAGAGAAATGTATTTCTCATTGGTTTTTTTCTCAAGGACGGAAACTTGAAGGTAAGTCCAGGAGGCGCTACCCTTAATCCTACGACTATTTGATCAAACAGATTATTGAACGCCAACAAGATAAACTGCTGCGGGTAGATGCTTTCCAGGACCTGCACAACCTGAACCTTCTCTCCTTGTACGACAACAAGCTCCAGACCATCGCCAAGGGGACCTTCTCACCTCTCCGGGCCATTCAGACCATGTATGTACATGCTGTTCGGATCATATTTGTTAACTGTTGTTTTCACTCAAAACTGTGGAGTTGAGTTCCTTGCAAGTCGTGCATAAAAGTGTTCTGTGTGTGTTTCCGAAAGGCATTTGGCCCAAAACCCCTTTATTTGTGACTGCCATCTCAAGTGGCTCGCGGATTATCTCCACACCAACCCGATCGAGACCAGTGGTGCCCGCTGCACCAGCCCCCGGCGTCTGGCAAACAAAAGAATCGGACAGATCAAAAGCAAGAAATTCCGTTGTTCAGGTAATTTCTGACGTCATGTGGCATTCCCCCTGTGTCACCAACCACAGTGGTTACGGGACAGCTAGAGACAGTTGGCCTTCAGCTGAATTACCAAATGTTGTAGAATCGTATGTCTTTCTCTTTTATACATATAGAAAAAAATAAAGAGAACCGTAAACAATTCAGATAGCCCTCCTAGGTGTACCATTTTTTTAACAGTAGATGAAGCAGAGGAAATAGGCTGCTGGCCAAGAAAAAAAGATGCATGGCTACTTCACACTGTATTCCCAGGGTCCGAACTGAACAGGGGCCTCTTAGTTAACTCTCAGTGCCTTTGAAGCCTGTTAAGTCTCATGTTTGTTGTAGTATTCTCTGTCGAGGAACCCCAGGTAATTAATCATGATTTCATTGCTTCAGGAAATGAACTGAACTTGGTCACATGATTTGCTCAGGCTCAGAAGTAGGGGGAAATGTCCTGATCTCTTACTGGATACTGACTTCTCATTTTGCATTCTCTTATGTTGAATAGGACTGTAAGGACACATTTTTTTTCCCAAAAGGCCACCTGTTAACATGTCAGGAATATTACATTTATTGATAGAAAGCTAACTCTAGATGCGTTGTATTACTATTAAATAGAAAGCTTACTGCATTGAAACTTAGTATTTGCTTTGGTCTAATCTGTTCTATTTTCTTATGATAAAATACATTCTGTATGTTTTGAGTAGTATGCTACCTACCACTCCAGGCATAGTTCACAAGTTAATTCATACTAAAAAGCTAATATCCAGACAAAGCTGGTTGTTGCCCAAGGTTCTAGATGTGTTTACTACTCACTGTACATTATTATACTTCAGCCCCTGCTGAAAATGTACATGTTCACTTAATTACCTGTAGTAACTTTAGTCCATTCTTAATCTAATATAACTCATATCTCTGCTTGCTGACATTCAGGTACGTCTTCTATTTTTGTCTCTTTTTTTATTTAGCTAAAGAGCAGTATTTCATTCCAGGTAGGTTTTGCTCGGTAGTAGGACTAACTACAGACACCCTTTCCTCACCTTAAAAAAATATAGCTTCTAAAACTTTGATATGCATGCTTTTGAAAGTACAGTGGGTGCTGTGTAGATAGATGTACTCTGCATAGATCACTTGTAGCCGTTTCCCGAACACCTGACCTTTGCATGCAGCGTCTGATGTTAAATATAGATATTATTAAGCACCCACCTTTTTTCTCCCTCTCTCTCACTTTGGCACATTACCTAAAATTTCTCACAGTAGCTAAAATGTTTGAACCTTTGGCCTTCTACTTAAACCATTTTCTCTCCTTACGTTGTATATCTGATCTTTCAACCTGTTTTTAAAATGTAGCTTGTTGAGCTGGTTTTAAAGACAGAGACTCCCTGTTGTCAAAGAGCTAGTTCCACATGAAATCAGCTACCAGCACACAGAATTGTGGTGTTCAGTCACGGGATTTACTTTTTTATAGTTCTCATACTAGAAAACTGTGACTTTTTGCTTGACTTGGCATGCTGTTGCTTCACTTTTTATGCAAAAACAGCAGCTTCCTGCTGATTGAAATGCACTTACACTTGCTCTGTGACTTCACATCCTTGCACACCTGGGGTCACAGTTTAACTCCACAAAAGCAACATTGACGTGCATCCTGAAAGCATGAAAGTTCATGGGCACTGAGTGCCTTGAATAATTTAGGCTGATGAATGAATGATGAAATGTGCTTAGGAAAGTAATTGAAATGTTTTACCACTACAATCCTAACAGGATCAAGGCTGAGGATTCTAGAACTAGCTCTTTGAAATATGTTCTTATTTTTTTCCTTGCCTGCCAATTGTGTAAAATGCCTCTTGACTTGTTTTTTTTAAATGCTTATATTTAAAAAATATATGTTAAGTAGTGATTGATTGGCCACATTCACCATTTCCTGGGTATATTCTAGACTATAATGTATTTTAACATCTATAAATAAAAATATATTCTGTAGTGTTAGTGTGCAAAACCATATCTATTTTTTTTTTAAGAATTCTGGGTTTGGTCTCTCTTTTAAGGAGATAGGTATTGCTTGCCATTATTGAATTATTATTTGAATAATGTTATGCATTTAACAGATTTTGTTTTATTACTTATTTTGAGCTTGAATGATCAAATAATACTTTATATATTACATTGGCTGAATAAAAAGTAACATGTTGAACAGCGGTTGATTGGCTTTCACTGGCAATCTTTAAAATTCATTATTTTTACCTAATTTTTAAGAAGAAAGTTATCTGAAAGCTATTACTTACCCCCAAAAAAGTTATATTCTAAACACTAGAACACCTCTGGGATAAAACATTTATATTATTTAAATCCCCAAATTTTAGTGGTTAATATCATTGTTGCTAAATTATTTCATCTATTATATTTTAATATACTTCATTACTTACTATTACACTAAATATATTTGAAATATTTATTTTATTACATAATATATTATTTTAACCCAGGCATATGCCCTTGACCAGAATCAAACCTGGGACCCTTCAGTCCGCAGGCCAACACTCTATCCACTGAACCAAACCAGCGAGGGTTATTTTAAATATAATTCATTAAGAATTTAGAAATCAATATTTCAGTTCAGCAAATAAAGAACAAGTCAGGTTGTTTCAGTAAATTCTGATACATTTTGGCCCTTTATTGACAACAGCCAAAATAGGTTTTGGAAAATACCTTCTGTATCAGATATCACAGCTTAATTGTCAATATCTGATCATTTAATTTGCATTATTTAAAATAATAATTATAGAATTCAGGACTCAGAAGAATACTTTTTCCCAGCTTTAAATTAAAATTTGAGCCATGAAATAAGAATCACTGTCATTGTATTGAAGGTGGATTATTTTTAATGTAAGATACCTACTGTACCTTTATTTAGACTTTGTTCCCAGTGTTTTCTGATTTTAATTTTAAAACAAAAGCTTCAACCACGGTACAACAGATTTTCAATAGATGTCATGGCATTAATTTCCTAATGTAATGAAACTATTATATTCAGCTTTGAAAACATTTATCTGATTTCCTTTTAACTGAATGACATTATTCATAAATTGGAAAGGTCATTCAAAAGCATGTTAGCCACAACCTAAGGATTAATGCCAACATGCTCATGATAGTCCTTGCAGCTCTCCATGATTCGTTTCTCACTTAATTTCACATGTTTACTTGCCTACCACTGTTCTGTCTGGCATTCTAGATATTACCGTGATAACTCAAAAGAAAATCTATCTTGCAGAGAATTCATCTTTTCAAGGAATTGACAAGGGCTTAATTTGTGCTGTGCATCTTGGATGCCATTGCTTTTCCTGCAAGACCCCTTTGCTTCAAAAAATTATTAGAAAAGTTTACAAAGCACATGCCATTCCCCGATCATTGCCACAGTAAGAAAAAAAGAAAGAGACCTTAGTTAGTTGTAAATATATATATATATGCCAATTAATCTTAACGGGGATTACTGTCTTTCTTTCCTTCTTGGTGATTTTTAATTTTGCAGGAGTTCACCATTTGGGCTGTAAGTAAAAGTGTCTGATCTGAAACATACTATCCTCCCTTTTCAATCCTGATGTACCTTCTAGTCTCGGTCTTTTGTGCCCTTTTTTTCCCCCAAGAAGAAACCACAGATCTTTTGAGCTTCTCTGTTGTCCTTGTAGCTCACCTCCAACTTCTTCCTGGATGTTGATCCCGAAAGCGGTTGTTTCCATTCTGCAGCTCTGAGGGCCGGGGGAGGCACCCTTCCGTGTAGCCCCTTTGTGTTTCCAGGAACCCTCGGTAGTAAGGCTGTCACTACGGTCATAGGCCTTCTATGGGACGAATGCATGTCACGTACACAGTACAACATCTCCAGAACGTCTGTAGCTTCTCTCCTGCTTCCCTTCATCTTTCCTCTCCGTCTCACCCCTGGCCTAGTGGATGGTGTAGTGATGATGTAGCGAGATTTTCTGTTGTGCTTGATCTAACCATGTGGTTGCCAGGTATGAGTAAAACATGGTTCCGTCAAGCACCATGGAACGTCACGCAGCTTTCTACAGCATGGCAAGCTGCTGAGGCTTAATTCAGGATTGACTGGTCTCTCTTGATACAATCAAAATGAAAAAAAAATGAGGGCCTTGGAGGCATTTCTGAAGAGTATGTGAGAGGGAGAGAATAATCAAAGACCATAGAAAAATTAAAAACCTGAGTACATCTATTTGCCTGGAAAGCCCTAATTTTAAAATGATATATAGGGAGATGTGGATGACTGGATACAGTTTAAATTCTTGACGCTGAGAAAAAAAAAATCTGTTTAACAACGCAATAGCCATTGTGTGCTTAGCTGTCAAATAGGCTAGAATGGCTCAGAACCGGATCAGCAGACAGTACCGCTGTGAAAAGCTCATCTCTATTAATGTTTCCTGTCCTGTGAATCTAGTTACTCTCTTTTCCAGCAAATTCCGAGCCCTTGTTTTAACCCTCTCCTGACATCCATTGACCAAATCCCCCAAGTT